CTAGGCTTGTAGATCAAGCAAACCTCTCAAGGGATTTCAATATGCCAAGAGAAGTATATCAAGGAGCTGCTCAAGAAATTTAACCTTCTTGAGGCAAAAGTGCTGGATACTCCTATTAACCTAAGTGTGAAGCTTGATAGAGATGAAAATGGCATGGAGGTCAATCAGACCATGTATAGGGGAATTATTGGGTCACTCATGTACCTTACTGCAAGCAGGCCAGACATAGTGTTCATTGTAGAGATGTGTGCAAGATTTCAAGCAGTACCAAAGGAGTCTCACCTGAAGGCAGCCAAACGTATCCTGAGATACCTGAAGGGAACTCAAGACCTGGTCCTCTTCTACCCTACCGGTGACTCTTTTGATCTTATAGGTTATGCTGATGCTAATTATGTAGGTTTTCTGGTTGATCGAAAAAGCACATCAGGCATGGCACACTTCCTTGGATCAGCCTTGATTTCATGGGGAACAAAGAAGCAGAATTATGTGGCATTGTCTATTGCAGAGGCAGAGTATGTGGCTGCTGCATCATGTTGTGCACAACTATTATGGATCAAGCAGCAGCTGGAAGACTTTGATGTACTCACAAACACCATCCCTCTCATTTGTGATAACACCAGTGCCATGAATATGGCCTAGAATCCTGTCCAGCATAAGAGGACCAAGCATATAGATGTGAGGTATCATTTTCTGATGGACAATGTTGAAAAGCAGAATGTGGTGATAAAGTTCTACAAGACTGAAGATCAGCTGGTTGACATCTTTACAAAAGCTCTAAGTAAAGAATCCTTCATCAAAAATAGGATGAGGCTGGGGATGCACAAAATCACATGATTCCTTAACAATATTGTACAAATTTCCTTTTTGCTGACTATGCGAAGGAGGGTAGGTATCTGTACTTGTTTTAATGTTTGTCATAAAAGGATTCATATTAGATACCTTAATGCATGTATACACTCATGGTATGTCTAGCTAAAGGGATGATTTAATCACACAGGCAGGGTCACAAACTGAAAGAAGGACATGGTCCTCACGAGGTTAGTATCACTCATGTTACACTGTCTAAATGTCAACATCATTGCCACGTGTCACTCGCCCATTCATCGCGTCAGTTTCAGATGTCTTTTCATTTTAAATTCAACCGTCACCACTGTTGGGGACCCGATACCCTTTTAACTTTTCGTTATAAATACCTAACTAAGTGAATCAAGTTCATGGTTCTTCAACAAATTCCCTTGAAGATTCACTTTCCCTCTCTGAAAAACATATGTCTCTTAGTTTTCTTTTTTCTTTTTCCTTCCAACAATGTCTAACCCTGATTCCTCTTTAAAGACTCCACTCTCCCAATAAGTAGAAAACCCTAGTTCATTCGACTTCTCCATTCCTACTCCTGAAAAATCTCCCTCAACTCTAGTCTGTGGGGCTGGTTAAATGGCTGAGTCTGTCACTCCTCAGACGGAAGTCGTATCCTCCCCTATTTCCCTTTCTGACAAGGTCTTGGTCTGTACCCCTGCCCTAGTGTTGTATGGTGACAAATCTCAGAAATTAGAGGCTCAATCTATGACTAAACCTAGTGCTGAACTTTTCTCTGAAGAAATAGAAGTTGGGTCAATGGCTGTGTCATCTACCATATCTAAAAAGTTGTTCGAATGAGATCTGCCAGAGGAAAAGGGTCCTGACTCCTGTATACTAATAGCAGGGGCAGAACTAGTGGTTGTTCAAAGTTTAGCCTCACTAAGAGGAGATACTCAACCCACATTGTTGGACCAAGAACTTAGGTTGCCGGATCAGGTCCCACACATAAGTCTACCTGTGTTTGACCAAACTCCAATTTCCTTGGGTGTTGAGAATGATGAGGAGGAAGAAGAAGAGTCTTAACTAAGATGGAGAAGTAGAGGTGTGAGAGGAACAAACCCTTCACAAATTAGGGGTGAGAAGTTGGACACTGCCAAAATGTTGTCTAAAGAAGTATCTCCTGCTACACGCACTGATAGTGCAGAGCAGAGAAAAGAAGGGAAAGGGAAAACTTATCAAGGCTCACCTAAAAGGTGACAAGAAGAGGTATGGAACGAGAAGTGTCACTCAAAAAGGTTCTAGGAAGTGCTATGGAGGCAAATGCTGCTCAAATTAAGAGAATAAGGAAAATGAGACAAGAGGGATCACTGACTGTAGAACCCACATCTACTCATGTGCCTATTGATGACAGTGAAACCCAATCTGAGGATATTGTTGGGGTTGTGGCAACACGAAAGAGAGAAGCTGAGGAGGAAAGGGTGAAATCAAAAGGAACGCAGAAAAGGGCAAGAAAATCTCCTGCAAAGAAGGTGAACGTGACAAAACAAAAATTTTCTGAAAAGAATGAAAGAGTGGAAAAGATTGTGGATGAACAACCCGTAAAAGGACCTGGTCCCAGGGTTCAAAATCAAAGAAAAAATGAGGAGATGACGAGTGAGGAGAGAATAGCAAAAATGGAACACCAAAAGGTGTTAAACGGCAGAGTCTTTGACACTGACATTGTAATAAAGTTTGGTATGGCCACCTTGTTTGATGTTGTCACCATTCAAGAATGGAGTTATCTGTTTGAACTGCCTGCTCTGTATCTACATGAACCTGAGGTACGTGGATTCTTCTATAAAATGGAACTGCTAGAAGATGGAGGAATCACAACCACTGTCAAGGACATTGAGATATACTTGGACGAGGAAACTCTTGGGATCATTCTGGGGGTGCCTGTAAAAGGAGTTAGAACCATTGAAGGTTGTAAACCATATGTGGAATTCACCAAGCCTTCCACTAAGCGATGAGAGATTAAGCATGCAGGGCTGCCCAAGAAGCTCCTCAAAGGGGAATATCAGTTGGTGTTTGAGTTCATTAACAAAGTGTTGGTGCGTAGGACTAAAAAATGTACTGTTACGTCTGCGGCTGACTTATTTCTTATGGAGAAACTATTTGAACTGCAAGAAATCAATCTTCCTGTTATCATGTTGGAGCACATGCACAAAGTAATGACCTGGAAACAGGCTAAACATGGTATTCCATATGGGTACTTGTTGAACCTTGTTTTCAATCATTTTGAGGTACCATTGGGAAAGGGAGTACTAGGTACCACCAAACAGATGTTCATTAAGTCCACTCTATTGGAATGTGAATGCATGGAGGGACCAACTAAGGGTAGGTCTCAAGTAGCAACGGTTCTAGAGAAACAGGCTACTCTCAAACGGGAAATGGATGATCTCACCTGTCTTCTGAATGACAAGGAGGTTGAAATTGCTAAACTCAAGTCTGAACTTCAGAAGGAAATCTCTCGAGGTCCTGGTACCAATCATGCTGATGAGGAAGTGTCACAAAAATTAAGGGATGAAAATGTACTACTGCTAAAGTCAAATGCCTCACTTAGTGAGGAAGTTAAGGCCCTAAATAAGCAGATTATCAAGGCTCATGAAGATGCTAATGAGCGGCTGCTTCTGTTCATGCGCACTCTCTCTCCCCTTCCCCCTCCGTCCTAAATGCATCTCACTTATAATTCCCTTTGTTTTGTTCACTCCTGTAATCCAAAAATCTTGTGGCTTCATGTTGTTTTGACTGACTACAGTGGTCAATATTTGTGATATAATGCTCATTCAGGTGCTGCTCTGTTCATGTGTGGTTTGATTATCGCTTTATGCTTTCATATGCATGTTCTGTGTGGCTTGATGCCCTGAATTCGTAACTGCCTTACATTTTAACCTGGATATGTTTACTGCTTCACCCTTTCAATGATGTCAAAAGGGGGAAGTTTTTGTTGCAATTGGCTAAGGGATTAAGGGGGGAACTGATTAAGGGGGAATAAAAAGGGGAACTGATTAAGGGGGAATACCAGTTATTTGAATGAATGTTATTGCGCTCATGAGATGAGATATGCAAGTTGTTTTCCATCATCAAAAAGGGGGAAATTGATAAGTGCTTATGCTCATAAATGTTTTGATGATCTCCTCACAAGTGCAAGGACCTGGTCCTCTGCAGAGTATGAATACTCGTCCAACTGTCAAAGTGTTGTACAACTGTAAAAGCTGTCCACGTCAGAAAGTTGGTGAAGGAGCAGAGTACTTCACCAATCAGAAGCGACGAGGTTATTTGTACATTTGATAATAATTCTTCTTTGCTAATCTATTCAACTCACAAACAACAAGTCAATTATTCATTCAAAGAGAGATACTTTCAAAACAGCAAGGGACTTGATAGAAGTGCTTCTGTTTGCTTTCAGTACCAGCTGCATTTGTCTGCTTGTAATAGTGCTTATATTGTAAGATTCGTTTCACTTGTGAAAGAAATGTTTCAAACTTGTGTGAATCATTGTAAGAACTAGGTTGAGAGTAACTTAGTTCCTTACTCTAAAGTCTATACTAATCGGTTAGGATTAGTATAGTGGGCAGTGTTGTATCTGCTCTGGCTCAGCTAAGTAATAAGAGGTATTGCTTAGAGTTGAGATTAGTAGGCTAATCTCAGTTTGTAAACTGACTTTTACTTTTGCTTAAGAAGATTAGTGAAAGCAGTTTGAAAAGTCTTAGCAGGTCAGGTCGTGGTTTTACTCCCTTGAGCAAGGAGGTTTCCACGTAAAGTTGATTGTCAATCTTTACTTTCAGTATTTGTTCTTTACTGTTTATTACTGTAACTGTGTTGAGGACCTGGTCCCATCGCAAGGAGGTTTCCACGTAAAGTTGATTGTCAATCTTTACTTCCAGCATTTGTTCTTTACTGTTTATTTTGTAATTGTGTTGAGGACCTGGTCCCATTTACATAGATGGACGCATACATTCCAACAGATCAGCCATTCAAACTTAATACAAATGATTTTGTAATAGGCAAATGATGGTTCTCCAAAACGACAGGTTCTTTAAATCTTTTCCTCATCTGTATACTAACTGATCAACTTTGGTTTTCTTTTTTTGACTTTAGACAACTATTTGCTCCCTTCGGAGTTTTATCAGAAAATTCTAATCATTAGTGTGATATTTCCCCAGGTGCTGCATCCAAAAAATCCATTTGCACTAACATTGCATTTTAATTATCGTAACTTTGAGACTGATGCTCCAAAAGGTAATCTCTCTCCTGAGTATGGTTATTCTTTGTCGATAATTGTTCCACTTTGTTTAAGATAGAACGAGATTTTATTGGTGGTAAGCACAAATTGCACAAACTAGGACTAGAAGGTGCTGATTCCTGTTGTCCTTTTGTATGAGATTTGGAAAGAGAAACTCATTTTACTTCAAAAAGAGGAGATAGGACTGGACAGTGCTCCTCGGTGTGCACTGAATGCTTTGTATTAATACATATCAGTGCACTCTAATCGCCATGATAATTATCACCGGACTTGATAGTAAAAAGTAAATGCAGCTCCAAGGTGGTTCTTCACCTTTCCTAGTTGCTACCTCCTGTAGGTCACAGTAAGCCAAATCCAATTACAGTAGCATAACTGCATATACCTCAGGATTATATTCTTAAAATTGCAACAGTGAGGAATGAGGACACATAGTCGTGTCGAAAACATTGCAAAACATTATTTTTCACTGAAGTGAGGTTGTACAATATATAACCTGATTTTTTTTTTCTTTTTCCACACCATGCATGGCCCAAATTTTATGTCTCTATGCTTTTCACAAATTAAACTTGTATTACCTCTTAATCTTTTTTGGGTATTGCAGTTTTAGTTCCTCAATGCTCCCTCCACACTCCTCACTAGTACTCACTCGAAATCTGCTTAAACATAATAAAAGAAATCAGGATCGGGGCTGAGTACAAACATGCTGAATATGCATCTTCAACCATCCCCCAATAGGTTTAGACGAGGTTTTATTCATACTTAGAATAGTGTCATAATCTGTATTTTATATCATACATCATAAAAACATATGATTGATTATGCATGAGAAATCTACTACTTAGCACATCTGAGAATATGCTTGAACATAAGGGAACATAAATGTAATCTGTAAGCCAAAACATTCTGAAACATTAAGAATATGCAAGAAAACTGTAAACATGAATGCCGTCAAGTGTAATGCTTATGCTCCATCTTTCTATGCATCTAACGTTGGGCGGAATACCTCTCACAACCTCGTCAAATCCTCCCAAAAAGGCTTCTTGACCTCCTTGTCCAAGGCTTCTTGTGGCGTGTATGCGCTAATAATGTTCAACGTAAGCCCTCCCACAACTAAGTTAATCGACATAGTCCTATCATTAACCCTCCTTACCTCTACCACTTGCTCCTTAAATTCCATGTCAACTAAAATGCCTACTTCATTCCTATTCCTTGCCTCTCATGAGTACAACTTAATCATGTCCACATTTCAAGCCTTAGTTCCTACCCACTTGGTTTTTTAGACGCAAGCTATACTAATCTTCATCTATCTAAAGATCTTTACTAGCTCTATGGATCTTTACGACCTTAATATCAACCTAGACACTCCTTGAACGGGCTGAGCCCGCTTACTTTGTGCTAGGATTGCTAGTTAAGCCGTCATAGTATTTAACTCATCTTTGGAATGGTCAATTAAGCCATCGAGGTATTTAACTCTGTTCTGGTATGGTCAATTAACCCATCAAAATATTTACCCTGAACATAAGTATGCACTAAAATGCAATCACATATATTATCTGTTGTAGCATATAAGTATAATATGTGAAGAACTCTATTGTAACAAGTCTCATGACATGATAGTCAAACCATACTCCATAAAGCATACAGGAATACACATACTCTTATATCATAGGCACTTATTAGATAGTACAGAAATTACATTGTATTAGCTAAAAACATAAACCCAGATAGTAACCTGGTTCCTACTTATACAGTCGTCTCCTCGTATGCATAGTTACCTCCGATATCATATTATACTCTTTAATTAGTTAGCGTTCTTATCATTTAGGAAAAAACAGTTCTAGAGGACAAAGTTCAACATACCTCAAGCCGCACAAGTTTCACAAATGTTAACCTTGTATTTCCTTGATCAATGTCCATCAAACCAGTCTAATCTATTCTAAAGAATACGTACAATCGTCAAACGAGTCCATTGGAACCTTTTCTTTAGTCATATAAACTTGAATTCGAGTAGATATACCTTTTGTTTTATAACAGTATTTTCCTGGACAACTTGCACACCTCAACTAATTTTACGAGATATCTGTCACCTCCCACCAGCCATAGGATAACTCTGTCCACTAAGGCTATAATAGATGGAAAGAAATCGCCTAGTGTTTTGAGTAAATAGACATTCTATAAATACCTTTTATTTAATCCAGTATAAGTCATTAAGATTGTGTATATACACCTTTTATAATTTCATGTGTATGATATTGCCATCCACACACTATAGAGGAGAGCTAATATGAAGTTTAAAGTTACTTATGATTAATATAAATGCAGATACACCAGGAGCACCAAGGCAATGGTGGTTTGGTGGTGGTACTGATCTTATACCTTCTTATCTTCTCGAGGAGGATGTGAAGCACTTCCATTCGGTATAAATGCACTCACACACTGTATTTTCTTCTTTGAAATCTCTTTATGTGTAGTTCACAATTTCTGCATGTCAATTAAACAATTATACCATGAGCAAACGCAGTGAAGACAAGACATTTTTCTGATGTTTGATTGCAATTTTCTGTTTGCATTAATGAAGCAGTTTGGCTATTTTGTAGGTGCAAAAAACTGCTTGTGACAAATTTGATGCTAGCTTCTACCCTCGATTTAAGAAATGGTGTGATGACTATTTCAATATTAAGGTAAGGAAACTTCATTTCTTAACTTGTTCAAGTTGTTTGCTTTGGGTTAAATGCTTTTATTGAACATGTTTATTCCTACAGTAAATGAGGCACCCTTTTGTGATGAAAACTATTAAGGCAAAGACCATAAATGATGAGATTGATATGCATGTTTAATTATCTCTACTTACTTTAGAAGATGGTATAATAGTGGCATATTAGTATTCAACACTCTTGGGTATAACCCCAGAAATTTACATAAAAAGATTTCAAAGGCCTTCATAAACCTTTAGATACTTTCAGATAAGTAACATGTTGATCCTCTTATGCAATTGTTTAGCCAAAAACCAAGCAACCAAGCAATAGCACACTCCTTCCCTTTATTCTCTATCGGCATATTTCTGTTCAGGACCAGCATCATTATGCAGGATCTTAAGTAGAAAACTCATCCCACTTTTCTGAATTTGAAAATTGTTGGAAGTTTATAATGACCTTGCTATTGTATTGTCGTTGCCTTTTCTTTTAATTGTTGAGTTGAAGTACAGATCTTTCTATCTGGTTGTTTGTTCTTTTAATTGTTAAATTTAAAGTACGAGTACGAATAGCTTTTCATTGAGCTCATCATATTGTAGCATCGTGGTGAGAGACTGTTGGGATATACTATTAACCATGTAATTGTGTTATAGTATTTTTTATTTAATCCCTTGTAAAGATTTTTTTATGTTATTTATTTAATATAATAAATTTTTGTTTAAATAGATCATTATGTATATATGTGTGTCCATTGCTTATATAGTAGACAATTTTGTGTATGGAGTATTTTAACTCATACACGGAAGATTAAAATTGTTGGTGCATATAAGTTATAAATTTATGTTCACGATCAAAGATGAAGTAGGACGAACATCTTGATGATCGTAGCACAAGATTAAATATAATTTGATCTTAATTATGAGAATGGTTAAATTCAACTTCTTGTGCTAGTACATTTTGTATGTATTGAACGGACCAATTAGAGACATTTGTTTATGTTCTGAATATTTATAAATAAATTCTCTAGTCCACTACATGTATTTATACTCTCAATCTTGATATAATTATTATGATCTATGTAATTTATTTTATTGTTTTAATCTATTAAAAGGTGAGACTTTTTGATGAGTCAATAAATTCCTAATAGATTAGATAATGACAAATTACATTAGTGAAATAATAATTAGTTGATAGAACCGTGTCTCGGACCCGAGTTGAAGACACCCCTTTATGATTACTTATAAGTTTTCACGTGAAAACCCTGCAGGTGGATTTTAGATCCGTCACGTGAAATAAGTTAAGTAAATATAATAAAGGATTAATTTAGTCAATGAATTAAATTTTCAGATAATTTTGATTTAATTGATTGGTGTCGGTAATTCTAACACGGGGGGTTAAATAAGATGTAGTGGTAGATTTCGAAATTAAATTGAGGAGTGCAATTACAGAATTTTAGTGGAATACTTTGTAATTTATTGCGATATGGTTAATTCGTTCATTTGAGAATTATTATCGTAATTGGAAGCCTCTATTAAATATATCTACGGTCCCTACTATGCCTGATTAATTGACCAAGTTTGAAAAGAAGGACAAATTAATTTTATTGTTGATCTTCTTTAAAGGATGAATTATTTGAGAGTTAAAGATTGAGTTAGTGACAAAAACGTTTGGTCTTAAATGGATGAAAACGTTTTTGTTCTTATTACAAAAACGTTTGGCCTTTAAATGGATGAAAACGTTTTTGTTCTTATTACAAAAACGTTTGGCCTTTAAATGGATGAAAACGTTTTTGTTCTTATTACAAAAACGTTTGGCCTTTAAATGGATGAAAACGTTTTTGTTCTTATTACAAAAACGTTTGGCCTTTAAATGGATGAAAACGTTTTTGTTCTTATTACAAAAACGTTTGGCCTTTAAATGGATGAAAACGTTTTTGTTCTTATTACAAAAACGTTTGGCCTTTAAATGGATGAAAACGTTTTTGTTCTTATTACAAAAACGTTTGGCCTTTAAATGGATGAAAACGTTTTTGTTCTTATTACAAAAACGTTTGGCCTTTAAATGGATGAAAACGTTTTTGTTCTTATTACAAAAACGTTTGGCCTTTAAATGGATGAAAACGTTTTTGTTCTTATTACAAAAACGTTTGGCCTTTAAATGGATGAAAACGTTTTTGTTCTTATTACAAAAACGTTTGGCCTTTAAATGGATGAAAACGTTTTTGTTCTTATTACAAAAACGTTTGGCCTTTAAATGGATGAAAACGTTTTTGTTCTTATTACAAAACC